GCTGGTTCACTCCAGCAGTTACCATAATGGGTATATATAGTAAGTAATAGGGTTTCCCCGGTACAGTAACATAAACTAAGTTCCTTAAGAGCACCCCAGGTGATACCCCTCATCAAGCCCATTGAGGACCGGGCCACTTCACCTCACCTGACCCTAATGGATGGTAGTCTATACAGGGATGGTAGCCTATACAGGGATGGTAGCTTCCCAAAAGAGGAGACCCCACTATAGAACCCCCCAAAGTCTAGTCCTTATTACAGGGACCCCCCAAAAAGGTACGCATAATTTAGTTTTGCGGAAGATCCACTTACTCCAAAATTGTTGCATATGTTGGGATTTGTCTACTTTGCCGCGTGGAGGATGCCAAGCCCCTTCCAGAACTGGATGTGGAGAACCTGGGTTGCCTTTAAGGAAGTTAGTTTAGGTTACTATATTGGGGAAACCCTATTACTTACTATATATACCCATTATGGTAACCCTAAACCCCAAATCCTAAATCCTAAACCTATAGTGTATATATCCATTATGGTACCTTGAATTAAGTTCCTGAACAGCAACCCAGGAACCTGACCGAAGACCTCAGGGACTGCCTGATGGGGTTCTGGAGTGGCTGGCTTTGTGTTAGGGTGTAAGGGTTTATAGTTTAGGGGTTTAAGGTCTAAGCGGTTTAGGGTTTATAGGGTTTATGGGGCTTATGGGGTTTATAGAGTTTAGGGTTTATAGGGTTGATAGGGTTGGGGCTTAGGGTTTATAATAGGGTTTTGGGCTTACGATTTAGGTTATGCTGGATCCCCCCACAATCCTAGAAGGCCAAACCCCCACCCTTGACTTCAGAACCCAGAAACCCTTCCGGCCTCAAGCCTAAACCCTAAACCCCCATCCTTAAAGTTCAGAACCCGGAAACCCTTGTTTGGGTCCTCAGCGCGAGCGAAGGCGAGTGGAGTGAATGCAGCAAGGGATTGCACGGTCTGAAAGGACCCCATCAGATGCTTGGTTCATGTAAGGGTTTATCACTTAAGGTTTAGGGTTTAAGGTCCAGCATTTATCTTCAGGGCTGAGGATGGGTTTTGTTTTGAGGGTTAGGCTATTAGGGGCGGGGTGTTCGGCTGACAGCCTGACTGCAACTGGAAGCCCCAAAACGAAGGGCATATTGTCTACATGGCAGAACATCGTGCAAAATTTGTATCAGTTGTACAGATGGCTCAGAGCATTGTCTTGAATGCATAACTCTAAGCCCATACCTTCTTCAGATCCTAAACTCTAAGCCCACAGCTCCTACCCCTCTCCGACTCAAGCACGACGTTACCCATCCAAGTGTCAAAAACCGATCCCGTGCCCTTGACTTGCAGGCAAAATCCTTCCTTTCTTGAGCTTGTATATATGGAGGTTTCCCAAAATTAGGGGTACCTTCTTTGGGGTTCCCATAATAAGGATTATAGTATATTGGGGTCTATATTGGGGTCCCCTTATTTTGGGAAACTACCATATAATGTTAATGCATATACACACATGTGTATATATATATATAGATATGGATACGCCCTCCGTAGCCCTATCAATCCGAGGCTGCGGCAGCGTTCGATCATCCAGCCGTGGCTCCCCGGTGGTGCTCCCTGCGGGGCGCAATCTGAAGCCCGTGAGTGCGACGTTGAGCATCACCCGTAGGGAGAGTTCTCAACATTCTGGTTCTTCCGGTGCTCTGATGTTATAGGAGGCTGTTTAGGGGCTATAACCCGCTTTTCCACTTGAGTGTTTAAGGGACAACGACATCATTTGTTTCATGCATGGTCGCCAGGGCATCAGGAAAGCGAGTAGAATAGGATTCAAACGGAGCCATCATTGCTTGGCTGGCAGTAAAAGACCGCGGTGCTTGAAAGTACCTGTGGAATGTGGTGTGGTTGCCATTTACAGTCCAGAGGAATATTTCCTGTAGGGATTTAATTTAGGTGGACCCCCCCACCCTGTACCAGTAGCAGAATAGGAATACAAGAGGGCCGTATTAAAATCACCATGATTCCTTGTGGTCACTAGTACTGGCTGGGGGGTCCACCTAAAGTTTCCCCTACAAAGCCGCCATATATAACTCCCTCTTAAGGAGTTTAGACCTTAAACCTTTATACAACCCTGTATAAACCTATATAGCCCCTATAAGGAGTTTAGACACTAGCTCACATTACCAAACCCGCAGGCAGAAATGGTGCTACAACAAGTCCAGCGCCTTGAGCGCGGAAGTGCGGGTGACTTGAAGCGCGAGCTTTTTTGGCTGCAATGGCATTTTCCCAAGATAAGGGGACCCCAATATAGACCCCAATATACACATTATAATCCTCATTCTGGGAACCCCGGAAATGGCACCCCTAATTTTACGAAACCACCCAATCTTCAATGGCTCTTTTCATGGAAGATTGGGGGCTCCTTTGTGGAAAGTCCCCTTAGTGAGGACTGCATTTTTGCGGGTAACCGTGTCTGAGTGTGCCCCTCATTTTGTTAAAGTACCCTCTTTGCATTTATGGTTGTTGCTATCATCCCGCTTAGCACATGTTGTCGTTTCTGTCACCGCTTATTATTAGCTGTGCTGTTGTTGCCCGGTTTAATGGGATTACAACAACGTCCTCGCATTTCTGTATCATTAGCAAGCCACGTTGACAAGAAGCTGCGAGAATGCTTATCGTTATTATTATTGTGATTATGATTACTATTGTCACTATTGTTTTGACGATTATGACTATTACCATTAGTATTACTATTACTATATAACCCCAATATATACCCTATTATAATATAGTAGTTTCCGTTTTCTTTTCCATTATCCCCTATAAACCCTAAACCCTAGTACTATGTTGAAACCCCTATATAACCCCAGTTTCCATTTCATTTTCCATTTTCTTTTCCATTTGATTCTCCATTATAGTAGTTTCCATTTGATTTTCCATTATCCCAATATTACCCCAATATAACCCCTATACTCCCTATAAAACCCCTATAGAATCCCTATCGTTTCCATTTTCTTTTCCATTATCCCCATATAACCCTAAACCCTAAACCCTACTATGTTGCAAGGTTCGCAAGGCGTGGACTCACTGTAGAAGCCGGCATGGAAGCCCGTCAGCAAGAGGCCAATGTGTGTGCGTCAATTCGGGCCATTGTCTAAACTCCTTAAAGGGGGTTATATAGGGGATTATATAGGGGAGTACCATAGGGGATATTAAGGGGGATACTAGGAGTTTAGACGATAGCTCATGTATAGCTTGCCTACTTAGAAGCCTACTCGCAACTACCCATGAACGTTCAAGTAGGTCCCAGCACGGACGAATCCAGGCAAATCCATGTCGCTTGCTCTTCTGGCCCGCTTTTGTGAAGTCAGCCCATGCAGGCATTTAGCGAGTTTAGGGTCAAATTATGATGACAAGCATTTGAAGATCTCTAAACGGTACCCGGATTCTCCCACACCCCAATGAATCACATGAAGCTTGGAGACTGCGTGCAAATTTTTGTGAACTGAGGAGAAGCAGGAGCCACGTCCAATCTTGGCATTTGGATACATACTGTAAGGATGCGTGCGGGTTATGTTGCGTCTTATCAGGATGGGAGCGAAGATTTAAGTAGACCGGTTACGCAGGCCCCGTAAAGGATCCAAAAAAAGGAACCCCCTAATAATCCTCTAGTTACCCCAATGTAGTAATGGGTTCATATTGGGGAGGTTCCATTTTTTGGATCCTTTAGGGGGTCTGGTTAAGGGATGAGGGTCAGCAAGGCACTGCTCAGATCGGACGCAGGGTCCATTATGCTAATTCGAGTTCTTGGCACATTCCAAGGTAGTCCCGTATCCGCCAATCCTACACTAAATGAATATTTCGTACCATATGAATAAAGAATACCTGTTTAATATTCGTATTATTGTTAGTATATCTTGTTCTTCATATGGTGCTTCGTTTTAATTCCTGAAGCTGTGGAAGGACATGATCTCCAAGCTCCGCGACGTGCTGGTTTGGGAGGAGCTTCCCATGTCGGGTTTGCAGCAGATCTGCCGCGCGAACCTCAGACTTCTATGTGAGCAACTGTCGAAATTCCTTAAAGGGGGTTACATAAGGGATTATATAGGGACTACTATATCGGGTATTTTAAAGGGGATGCTAGGAGGTAAGATTATAGCTCATGTCAAATCTCGTAGGTACCAGGTACCCTTCTGCTGGTTGCTTGGAATACATATGGTGGGGCATGCAGGAGTGCGTATCACAAAAAGGAGTTTCCACCATCTAGAAAAATACCTGGAAGAGGTACCTGCAGGTTAGGAGGCTACCACTACAAGCAGTCATGCGCTGTCCAGTGCTTGCTGTAGTAACAAGTCGCATGCATTGTCCGAAACGATATTTCGTGTAACTGCGACCCTTCTTTTGAGTTAAGGTGAACGTGGACTGGGTGGACCTGTAGCTGCTTCTCGTGACGCTTGGCTTGCAAATGCGCAACTCATGTCATTGGAGCATCATGTGACCTGATATCACTGGCCAAGCTTACTTAGCCTGCATTCGGAAAATTTCTGGTAGCCTGAAACTTGTGATCTCTATAGTGGTTGGCTTTGCCTCAGATGTGTTAGGAAATGAAGCCTTGTAAGGAAGGAGCAGGAATGCGGGGCTGTCTGGTGGGCAGTACTTATCTTTTCTTTGCATAGTTGGGGTAAGGTTCTGCACGTGGCTGGTTTTCAAGTGTTTTGTTTCGAGGGTTAGTGTTTGGGAGGCAGTCAGTGACCCACAGTGGTGATGGGCTGGCTGTGATTTTTGTTGGAACCTAGCTAGGCATCTTGCCTTGCTTCCTTTGAGGGACGAAGCCCGCATTTGTCTTGCGCTGCCGAAAGCCCTCGACGAAAAACCAGTGCTGTGTAGAAGCCTGAATAACTCTCCGACATTCTTCCCCGATATCTCGGGTAGCCCTCACATATTTTCCGTACCGTACAATATACCTTCAAACCCTATTCAGGTACCCCTAATTTTTGGGAAACCCTAAACCCTACACCCTGAATAGTAGTTTCCATTTTCTTTTCCATTATCCCCATATAGCACCTATATAGCTCCTGAAGGAAGCCCTGGGTCGAAATCTGCAGCCAAAGCACGCAGCTGAGGAGGATCTCATCCAACGGCTTCTGACCTCAATAGGCCTCTGGGACTTGTTCTGGGTTGCTGCTAAGGAACTTAAATTAAGTTACTATATTGGGGAAACCCTATTATTTACTATATATACCCATTATGGTATCTGAATTTAAGTTCCTTAACAGCAAAGCAGCTTGTTTTGGGGCTTGGAGTGGAGGCATGGTACTGAAGGCTAGCATGTTGTTCACGATCATCCCTGCATTCCTTGTACTACAAGACCTGGGACACTGCAAAAGTGTCGTGATGAAGCGGCTTAAGCCCGGGACCGCAAGTCCGCAAACCTTGAAGCTTTTCACGTCTTTAGATAGTACAGTGGGAGCCCCAGGGCAAGCCAGGGTGAGTAGACGCAAATACAGGTTTCTCAGCACTTCCTCTATTTTCTGGCACAGATTTTGGAATTCCGCAGCTCTTCAGGTCTACTTTGGAAAACGGCACGTACCAGCCAAGCAAATATCAGGATCTGCATCCTGGGGTGTCCCACGAAGTGGCTGGTTTAGGGGTTAGGGTTTTAGGGTTTAGGGTTTACCTAAACCTCAAAAGTATGTAGAACAATTGCCCTTTGGGCTATTTTAAGGGGTGTTGGGCTATGATTTTACTTACTTTTGGGGTCCAGGTAGCCTCCACCATACTGCAGACTCGCAGAGGACTGCGCAAAGCAGACAAAGCCAGAGAAATCTCAAAAACACCCACCACATTCCCTCTTAAACCCTGCAAAGCCCAAATCTGAAATTCCAAATTCTTAAGCCCCAAGCCCACAACCCCAAAACGCAAATCTCAAAGCCCTTATCCCTTAAATCCAGATCCGAGATTCCGCAACCCCATCTCCTACATCCTAAATCCCAAATTGTAATGCCTGAGCCCCGAAACCCTAAGCCCTAAATCCTACACCCCAAACACGCAGCCTAGGTCAAGCCAAGGCCGCCGAATCGCGCTTCAAAAACTTCTTCACCTATGGCAATCCACAGTCTTCGCAGGTCCAGGGGTTTAGGGTCCAGGGTGCAGGGTTTTAGGATTTGGGGTTTCGGGTTAAGGCTTTATTTAGGGTTCAGGGGTTAGGATTTAGGGTTCAGGATTTAGCTGGGGTTTAGGATTTAGGGCTTGGGCAACCCTACGATCTGTGCAGGTCTGGTTGGCAGATTCACTCTGTGTCTTGTCCTGCTGCTTTAAGAGGGTGATTGATATTACTACCCCCAACCCCCACCCCCCTCCAAAAAAAATAACAAGGAAATAGGGATGTTTATATATGTATAAATGTATATACAAAGTGTGTATGTATATATATATATATATACTTGTTTATGTTTCGTAGTATAGTGGAAATGTCGATAATCCAGGGGTTTGTGCGTGTGGGGAGATGATTAGCTTCAGACCCCAGACCCATAGAGAGCCTGACTTTCCCCCAACACCCTATAACTCATTCTCATTCTAAGTAGCCTCCCTAAACCCTAAAAACCCTAAACCCTAAAAACCCTAAACCCTAAATCCTAAACCCTAAAAACCCTAAAAACCCTAAACCCTAAA